AGGGAGCCCGGGCCGTCCTGAGGCGATTTGGGTGGAATTTAGGGACCACGGGGATTTCTTGGGCATTTGGGGGAGTTCTGGGGTGATTTGGGCGCAGTTTAAGGAGTTTTGAAGGAATTCAGGGCGTTCCGGGTGTATTTGAGTGGTCGTGTGGTGATTTGGGGAGAATTCTGGGAGTTTTGTGAGGTATTCGGCGGGTCCTGAGGGAACCCGGCGGGAGTCCAGAGGGTCTTGGAGGATTTGGGGTTTCTGGGGTGATCCTTGGGGGAATTCGGGATTTTGGGGGGGGATTTGGGGCGCCTTGGGCGGATTTTCTGTGAGTTTAGCGAGTTGTGGAGGGATTTTGGAGGGGGGTCAGGAAGAATTTCAGGAAGAATTTGGGGCGTTTTGAGCACTGCCCACCTCAAATTCACCCCAACTTTTTCCCCCCACCCCAGGAGCCCCGAGCCGGCGCCTGGCAGGTGAGTGTGTGGGGGAAAGGAACACAAATTTCGGTGTTTTAGGGGGGAGCTCTTCCCCCCCCAGAAATCCCTGTGAGGGGGCCCTGGTGACGCCCGGTTTGGGGTTCCTTGGTGTCCCCGCAGACGTCGAACGCCGAGAACCTCCCCCCGCAGACGCTGCGGCTGCTGTGCAGGGAGGTGTCGCTGCTCAGCGCCGACCCCCCCGACGGCATCAAGGTCTTCCCCAACGACGAGGACGTCACCGACGTCCAGGTGGCCATCGAGGGGCCAGGTAGGAGCCCCCCCGAACCCCCCGGTTGGGTTTGGGGGGGGTTTTGGGTACGGGTTTTGGGGCGCTGACCCCAAGGAGAACCCCAAAATCACAATTAATCGTATCAAAAATCGGGGTGAGCCCCAAAATCCCTCTCCAGCCCACACTGGGAGCTAAAGGCAGGGCCTAGCTTGGGGTTTTTGGGGGGATTTTGAGGTCTCCCACCCCCTTGGCCCCCAAGCTTTAGGATTTTTCCTCCCTCAGGTCCTCTCCCGTATCCCAAAGAGCTTCCAAATCCCACTGAAGTGCCCCAAAATCCCCCTGGGCACCAAGGGCATTGCCCAGGTCGGGGTTTGGGGGGGTTCTGGGGATACCAGCCCCCCTCTCTGGGGTTGCAGAGGGCACCCCATACACATGGGGGGCTTTTGGAGGGGTTTTGGGGTTTCTGACCCCCCTCTCTGGGGTTGCAGAGGGCTCATGGGGGTTTTTGTAGTGGTTTTGGGGTTTTTGGGGTTTCTGACCCTGCTCTTTGGGGTTACAGAGGGCACCCCGTACGCAGGGAGGGTTTTTGGGGTGGTTTTTGGGGTGGTTTTTGGGGTTTTGGGGTTTCTGACGCCGCTCTCTGGGGTTGCAGAGGGCACCCCGTACGCAGGGGGGCTGTTCCGCATGAAGCTGGTGCTGGGCAAGGATTTCCCGGCCGCGCCCCCCAAGGGGTTTTTCCTGACCAAGATCTTCCACCCCAACGTGGGGCCCAGCGGCGAAATCTGCGTCAACGTCCTCAAGAGGGACTGGAGAGCCGAGCTGGGGCTGCGCCACGTGCTGCTGGTGCGGCTGGGGGAACGGGGCTGGGGGGTTTGGGGGGTCTGGAGTGCTG